TTGGGCAGGCTATCTGAAAGCTATCTTAACGGAGGAAAGAATTTCTAGTAGGCAGCTAGGAACAAGCCAAAGTCTCTCCACAACCACATGACCGGATGTGAAAGGAGATCCCGCCCTAGTCAAGCCCCCAAGTGATCGCGGCGTTCCTTGATAGCACTACAATCTCAGTAAGCCTGGGTTCCAGAACTGCCAGTTTAGCTGCTTCAAGCCTTTCTGATCCTTGGACATTCTGAGACATGATGAGATTATAAACACTTAGTATGATAGCCTGCCAAGTTTGGAAGTGTTTGTTACACGCCAAGTGATGACCAATGCATGTTACATGCTACTGGTCTTCTGCTTTAAGGCATGAATGAGAACTGGCAGAGAACAGGGACTTATGACCACATTCGTTCATTGCTGCCATGCTAAGAAGGGTGTTTCCCACTCGAGAAATTCATTTCCTATTCAGATGACTATACTGTAAATGGGACTCAGTCGTTCTTGCTTAAAGTTAGGAATACACTCGTGGATTATAATGACAAACATCTAGACACTTGAGCAAAGGCTCAAAGAGAAGTAGAAAAGGCAGGGGGAGAAGGAAGCAGTGATGGCAAAAGAAGAAAAGCCCACGGAGAAAATCACGGCTTCAGTAGGACTAAGTAGAGGATAGCATGAGATAAAGGTGGTTTCTGAAGAGTGTACTAGACCTGGCAATGGTGGCGCACGTCTTTAGTCCCAGCACTAGGGAGGGTGAGACAGGCAGATCTCTGTGAGTTCGAGGCCAGCCTGGTCTACAGAGTGAGTTCCAGGACAGGCTCCAAAGCTACACAGAGAAACCTTGTCTTAAAAATCAAAAAGCAAAGTGTACTAGACTGTAATGAGTTGTCAAGGCAAGAAATGGCAAAGATGGATTCACATCTCTAGTATTACACACAGCTGTGCATCCCAATGCGTGGCCACCAACCTAAAGTGGGATTTAAATCCAACTTCGTTAACAAATAGAATTAAAATTTGAGTTCCTTAGTTGCGCACACCAGATTCAAGTATTCAGTAACTACATGTGGCTCCTGGCTGCTGTCCAGTACAGGGCAGGAACAGAACTCTCTCCTCTTCATCCAAGGTTCTGTTAGACAGCTTCACGCTGAGTGCTCACTAGACAAGATCACAGGATGGAATGAAGTTTTTAGACAAGATATGGAATATTAGATTGATGATATATAATACAGTTGATGCCTGCAATCCATGCTTAGCTCAGACTTCTGGAATACCATTGTGATGTGACATGCCATGACTTCCGTCCACTCTTGATCAGCTTTGTCTTAAAGGTAAAGGTTATGTAATATGGGCTATGAAAATACTTTGTGTTTTAGTTCAGTATGCATTATTAAATTCTGTGAAAGAAACCATTCTGATTTTTAAGCCCTCATCCCTGAACTCCTGCTGGCATTTCAGAGCAGTGATATTCCCTGGGAAACCTGAGTAGCACTGTCTTCAGAGACTAAAACCTTCCTTCTTCGAGGGGAACGTCTTAAACAGGATGTTTACAGGGAGGTGAAACAACAGGATGTTCTAAGAGGTTGCAAAATACTACAGGGAAACTCCTTAAGACACAAAATAAACAACTGAAAATAGCTTCAGGAAGTCCCTAAAATTGACCAGATTCACTAAGCCCCGCCCTTCTCCAAGAGTGTATGACAGTAGAAACTTGCACATCACTCTCAGAGAAGCCCATCTGCTAAAAGTAGCAAAGACCCATAGGGCTAAAAAAAAAAAAAAAACCACTCTCTAGCCTGTTGTGCTGTCTGCAGACTGTGCAGTGAGCTCCAGGTTCCTAGCTTTGTGAACTATCACCCATGCTAGGGTGGGCTTTGGCAATGCAGCTGTCTTTGCATCTTTTCTGGTCCTGTGAGTAACCCCACCCCTATATTCCTTGACATACGTCTACAAAACTCATTGGTTCACCAAGTCTGAGTTTAGGGGTATCTGTACTTTGGTCTGTTGTGGACTCCCTCTCTGGGATGACCAGCCATGTGTTGTTTCTCCCTGGAGAAAGTACAGCACCCAACAGAAACCCATCTAGAGAAACATTAAGAGGCTATGGGGAATGTAAGGAGGAGAATGTGTGACTAACTTCATGTTTTAATAGCTTAGGTAGAAGTAGGGGAGTTGAGACAAGACTGGGAAGATGCAGAGTAAGAGGAGCAGTTATGACAGTAGTGTCCTGAGCACAGCAAAGGGGGCCTGGTCTAGAGAAGGGCCTTGGTGAGACGGTGCAAAAAGATTCACGTCTGGAGACTTTGCACGCATCTCATGCCACGGAGAAAGGGGCAGACACATGTTACTAGCTGATAAACGCAGGTCCTCCCAATAGAATAACACTTCTCAAAGTACAAGATGATGGTTCTGCCCCAAGCCTGGAGACTGCATCTGTGAAAGATGAGCATGTTTGGTTAAGATAGTCTGTCCCCAGGATGCTGCTGCTCCGGGGTGGGTGGGTTGGGGGTTGACCTGTGATGACTTCAAAGCTCAGGACTGAAACTGGATCCCGGTGAACGAATCTGGCATCACCAACTGCCAGCTGTACTACTTAATAACAGGTCAGCCTCCCTGCGCCTCAACGTCCCCGTCTGGAAAACCAGGCTTCTAGCAGATCCACTCATTGGGCTGGTGTGAGCTTAGGTGAGTTTTACAGCAAGTTTGACAGCTCTTGGTACAGGATGCATGCTTCAGAAACCCTCACTGCTATTAATTAGCAGGGTTTCCAGTCGTGACCAAGTAAGCAAACATGATCACATGTGGCAGCTCAGCGGACTCTAGTGCCTGAGCCTTCTTCCTGTGGGAGAGGGGCGGGGGCCAGCGAGCCGAGACTGTGTGGACAGGAAGTGGAGCGTGTCTGCCCTGGCTTCACAGCTGTGCGTGATCACACTGATGGAACACAAGGAGGAGACAAGTGAGCCTGCAGGAACCGTGTGAGCTTGGCAGGGACAAATCCTTCTTGCTGATGATTTAGGTAATGCTGACACGGGTATTTGGAAGATGAGTTCATCAGCTTTTAACAAATGCATTTTTAATTTTTTATTTATTTATTTATTTTATGGGCCCCGGGGCGGGTGAGCCTAGCTCATGCTAAGAATGTGCTTGCCCGGGGACATACATCTCCAGCCCCCGTTTCCATCATTCACTTACACCTCTAACGACACCACAGAACATGTATGTGACACCATTGCGCCTGCCTCACGGGTGTGGAGCTGAGACTCGCAGGGTTGAAAGAGCCCGTTCAGAGCCACGCTGCCTCTAAATTATGGGGTCCCTCTCTGAAAGTCTTCTCTTAAGTCTTCAGTCTGGCTTCTTGTTCCAGCTGGTGTGTGCGCGGTGACAGAGAGGGCTGTCCTGTGAGGGAGGCAGTGTCCGTGACAGGAAGTCTGCTCCTAGCGCGTTTCTCTACCCAGCTTCTCCCGGAGACAGATCAGAGCAGACGGGAGTCAGGGACCTTGGCAGAGGGCTGGTAGCCTGGCCGAGGAGAGGGTCAGGTGGCAGCAAGCTCCTCCTGACCCGTGGCTCCTCTGTCAGGCTTCACTCGTGTCTGATGGTCTCAAGCAGGGATAGACCTGGTTCGTCCTCAATGCTGCCTGACTTAGTTACAAAGGGATTTGTATTTGTCATGGTGTCATGAAGGGGGAGACTCTGGGCTCTGGAGTAGGGGAAGTTAATGACCTTTATTAGCCCAATATTCAGTATCCCCGACTGTGTGAAAAGAAGACGGCCAGGATAAAGGGCCAGAGCGGAATACACAGGCCTAGTAAGACTGGGAGTGGATAAAGAGAAGACATGGCAGTATTTCCATTCATGCCAGGGACTGTAGAGACTTCAGCAGCCCAGCTGTTCAGTCGACAGAAAGGGCTATGTGGCCACTCTCAAGGCACATACTAGTCATCAAAAGAATTTTTAAAAGGTCCGGCATAATGGCACACACACCCGTAATCCCAGAGCTCACGGAGCTAAGCTGGGAAGATTGTAACTTCACCATCAACCTGTGCTGTATAGCAGGTTCTAGGTCAGCCTGTGCTACATAGAGAGTTCCAGGCCAGCCTGGGCTACATAGAGAGTTTCAGGTCAGCCTGGGCTACATAGAGAGTTCCAGGCCAGCCTGTGTTACATAGAGAGTTTCAGGCCAGTTCTAGAGCCACATGGGAAGACCCTATCTTAAAGCACAAAGAAAGAAAGCAAGAAATAGAGGAAGGAAGAAAGGAAGGAAGGAAGGAAGGAAGGAAGGAAGGAAGGAAGGAAGGAAGGAAGGAAGGAAGGAA